CGCTGGCGGCTGGTACTCGTCTTCGCGGCCGGGTTCGTAGTCCTGCGACTCAGAACCTGAAGAGCGTGGGCGCGAGTCCAGCGGTCGCGAATCGAGCGGTCGCGAATCGAGCGGGCGCGAGTCCAGTGGGCGCGAGTGCCCCAGCGCGGCCGGCGAGGCCTCTTCGGTGGCGTCGTCATCGCCGAGCGTGCCCGAACGGAGGGCACCTGCGAGGAAGAGCGCCGCGTCGCCGTCCGCCGGTCGCACGGAATCGCGTCGCCGCCGGACTGGACGTCGGAAGGGCCGTGCGGCCCACCGCGCCTCGGAAGAGGTGCCGCTGCTCGTCCGCGCTTCCGAAACGGTCCCGGAGACCGACGTCCCGACTCCGGACGTCCCCGTCCTGATCCCCGAGGTCTCGGTACCGGTCTCGGTACCGAAGGGCGTGTCCGAAGTCTCTGGCGGCGTGTCCGAGCTAGAGCGCTCGGAACTCGCCGACTGATGGGAAGCTGCACCCCCTGACACCTCGTGTGGAGCGCGACCGTTACCACCGCCGTCCGGTTGGCCTCCATTGCTGGGTATTTCAGGCGACGTAGACGAGGCTTCCGGGCGATTCGAAGTTGGGTTGCTGGAAGCAGAACTGCCCGAAGATACACCCGATGGCTCCTTCAGGGTGCTCGACGGAGACGTGTCCGAGCCCTTCGGGTCTCTATTCGCCTGACCCGACGAGGACTGGCTCGACGCGGGGCGGGCCCTCTCCGACGAGGAAGAGGTTCGGTCGCAACTCGAATTCTGACTGTCTTCCTCAGGCTGCTGCCGGCCAGCATGCTGCTGCGGGTGATCGGGCTGCTGTCGACCAGCATGCCGCTGCGGGTGATCGGACTGCTGTTTACCAGCCTGCTGCTGGCCTGACTGCTGCTGACCAGCCTGCTGCAGGTCTGATTGTTGCTGACCAACCTGTCGCTGATCCGGTAGCTGGCCGTTCAGCTGTATTTCTGTACGGCTGGCAGTGTGAAAGTCGGAGAGAACGAAATGAGCGTCTATAACTTGCTCGTCACAACGGGGAATCTGAACAAGCCCGTCAGCGTGAGACGGTCCGTCTGCATGAGACGGTCCGTCTGCAAGAGACGGTCCGTCTGCAAGAGACGGTCCGTCTGCAAGAGACGGCTCAGGGTTTGGCAGACGGGAAGGTAAATGCGCACCATCCGGTTCCATGCCAACTTGTTCTGCACCGTCTTGTTCCAGTACATCATCTTGTTCTACTACACGCGCTTGTTCTCCTGCACCGTCTTGTTCTACAGGGTTAACAGCAGCGTCGTGCTGCACAGCGTCGTGCTGCACAGCGTCGTGCTGCACAGCATCGTGCTGCGCAGCATCGTGCTGCGCAGCATCTGGTTCCACAGCATCTGGTTTCACAGCATCTGGTTCCACAGCATCTGGTTCCATACCTTGGTTTAAGAGAAGGGGTGAATATTCGTTGGTGCTGCCTGGTTCCTCGGGGGACGGTGGCGGTTTATCTGCCTCGACAAGTAGAGAGTAGAGTAGCTCTTCGACATTTTTGATCTCACTTTCTTTGTTGCTGCCAGAGGAGTGTTGTAAAATCCAGGCCGTGCCAATTTCTTCTGCCTGTTTGGACTTCCACACCCAGCGTTTTTCACAGGCGTCTGTCCAGACAGGTCGGCCTGAGTCATCAGTAGGTGTGCGGATCCCTAGTCCATGTCTTTGGAGTAACGCTCCTTTAGGGAGTGGTGCTGGCACGTAGGAGAAGAAGATGTCTCGGTGAGCCAGGACGAGCGCCTCGGGTGTGGGAATAGTCGCCGTGATCGCTTTCATATCATCACAAGCTTTCCTCGACATTTCTAAGCTACTAACTATATTCTCTTTGGAAGCCAACCATCGTTTCAATTCCAAGCCAAACGTTCCAGCTATGGTTACCAATGCATCCGCCTGTTTCCGGGCCCACTTCGCATGACACCAGAAGCTGCAGATCTTCAATTCCTCCGTTCCCCACACTGGCAAAATCAAACAGCAAATCGCTCGGTCATTTCTCGACCAACTACCAGGCAAAGCAAAACCATACATTACATTAGGTGATGCACCGTCAGGAGCCGGAGAGTACGCATCTGTATCAATACGGGCCCCGTCATTTTCAAACATCGATCCTTGGAAGGCCGATCCTTGGAAGGCCGATCCTTGGAAGGCGGATCCTTGGAAGGCGGATCCTTGGAAGGCCGATCCTTGGAAGGCCGATCCCTTAAGACCAAGGCGCTGTTGAGGGCCTAGGTACTCTCGGATCTGGTCGACGGAGCCACAGTAGATCCTGCCGGCGCAGTGCATGGCCTGTGACTCATCGACGGACATGTTGGGAGTCTCGCTCATGTCGAAGATATGAACAAGGTTTTTTACCGTGGCAACATTAGAGAAATCCTGTTTAGACGCGATGACCTGCGGTCGATAGTTCTCTGTTCGTGGTACAAAGGCCACGTATTTTTTGCGTACCATCCAAGCTCCATTTTCGACTCTGCTAGGAAACAAGCCACCTTGGGTAATAAGTCCTTTGAAACAACAGCTGAATAAGTAGTACACATAGCTGGTGCTTCCGGCACCCGGCCCTTGGAGGATGGGTACCTCCAGCACATCTTCCCGATTAGAGGATCCCAGACTGGATCCCAGACTTTCGACTTCGGCAAGACGATCAGTCAACATCTTCAGAGACCTCGGATAACACTCACGCACCAAGGACTTACGTACCGAATTGCCCATCACATTAAACAGAGACATGCGCGACTTGAGTGGCAACTTGTAGGACACATTACTCGGCAAACATAGCTCCAAACCTTTCAGTGAACCTAACGCTCGTGTCGGTACATCACGCAACTCAAACGCGTCCAATTCCACTAAACGGGTCACTAACTCGATTAAGGTTTGCTCTACAGACAGCAGTACTTGACCCCCATCCAACAGTACTCGACCCTTACCCGACATACTTCCCCCTGAATGTTCCTACCCCCTGAATGTTCCTACCCCCTGAACCCCATTCTTCATGTGTGTGTTCGTAACACCATGTGTGTAACCATTCCACTACAGGACACAATGTGATCATATGTGGACATACTGGGCAAGTCATGAATCGGGATCAGATCATCCATTGTTGTTTTTATATAATGTTCACTCAACTAGGACTATTACTGTTGGGAGCTTCGGCCAGCTACTTTGACATCCAACTAACTGGCAACGTTCGGAAATGTTACACCGAAGACCTGAGTCTTAACACTCTGATCGTTGCCGAAGTGGAGCCTCGAGATAATGTGATGCTCAGTGTAAGCCAATCCCTGTGTGTTGGTTCCGGTGCCGGTAGGGTCCTAAGCGTCCAGGGCCCTAGTAAGCCCGTTTGCGTGACCACGTTTCTCTCAGGTGGAGATATCGATGAGATCGCCGCACGAGGTGTATTTCCAGGAGGTGAACCAAAAAGCGATGAAGACCGCTTTCACCATGCAGCAGACCGGTACCGTCGACGTATGCGTACAAAGTGCTGATACCAAAAAAGGCGTGTCGTACGCCGGTCTCAGAGTACTCACTGGGACCCTGGCCAAAGACTTCAGCAACGTGGCGAAAAAGGAACATCTAGACCCCGTAATTAACGAACTGAAGAGTATAGAAGGTAACCCACCTGCCCTCTTAACTAGTACCGCACCTGTTGTCATGGGATCGGAAACTGGGTTTGTTACTTCAGGGATGATGACTGACTATAATAGTCGTCAGCGACGGTTGGTGGGTACTGAGGCTGCCACACGTAAGTTGGTGGATTTGGCTCATAGTCGTGTTGTCAATCTCGCTATTGCGAATATTGGCGTTGTGGTCGCTTGTAACGTAGTAATGGCGCTTATCCTGAAGGCTTTCTTCAAGAGCAAAAAAATCATTTAGGCTATTTTAAATGAATGATTCCAAATATGCGGGGCGGCCACGGCGCTAGATCAGTAGAACGTCGCAAGGCAGGGGGCAAGGCAGGGGAGGGGAAACCAGACAAAGAGAGTAGCGACGAGAGTGGCCCCGATACCAAAGGTGAAGGAAAACAGTGCGAACATAACGACGGACGAGAGGTGGCAACAATGGGACCGGATATTGATCACACTGAGGATACAGGGCTGGATGATGATCCGCTAACAGGGGGTGATCCGCTTGCAGGAAATAATCCGCTAACAGGAAATAATCCGCTAACAGGGGATGGTGGTCCAGATGAGGTTTCTGTTCAACCCTCTCGCCCGATTAGTGTAGACCCCGGGCGAATAAATGATACTCTGCGAAGAGAGGATATACTACGAATATATGGTACGTTGCGAAGGGATAGTACTCTGCTAGAAGATGGTGGTACCATCATATGTCCAGTCGAACCTGCGACGAAATCCGGCCCGGAATTTGGGTCAAAATCTGGTTTGGAATCCGGTTCAGAGCTGGAGTTGGAATTCGGGTATAAGGATTTTAGATATAAGGAGTGCGGATATAAGGAGACTGGAAATCAGCAGACGGGTTGTTTGAAGAGGAAGCATCTGAGAAGTGGTGTACTTGGCTGCGTATTGGGGTACCTTGAGTTGAAGGACATCTGTCGGTTGAGCGCTTCCTGTAAAAGTATGTCTCAATCTGTGCGGGAATCTCATACCTTTCTGAGAGTGAGTTCCTCAGACATGGATAGTATTTGCACGTCGTTATCAGTGGAGGAATGTTCTCGTCTGTTCGCCCGCATTTCTAGTCCTAATGTGATTCATTCTATTGCCCTCTCCGTAGACCCCTTCAACCCACGGAGGGCTATGTTATTGACCATCCTGAGGTCTTTTACTCAGTGCACGGACTGTGCTGACTGTGGCAGTATTGATGGTGGCAGTGTTGACTGCACAGCGGGGAAGCCCCAAATCGATGAAGTTGATGGTCAAGCTCAAGTTGATGGTCAAGCTCAAGTTGATGGGGAAGCTCAAGTTGATATCCAAAACCAGCCCCAGACGGGACGTGCTTTGCTGTCTGCCTCGGTCTGCACAACGCCCAAGTCGAACAGTGGTTTGGAATTCGAGATGGAATCTGTAACGAGCGACTTTAGCGCCTGCTTAGGTGCTCCATGTGGCTATCGCAGTGGCGTGAAGGAGCTCAGCATTTTGTCGGGACCTTCGTTGGTCGGCGACCATCTGCGCGGTCGAGACCATTCACTGTTCTCTGGCAAGTGTATCCATGACTTCTCCGACCATCCCCGCAAGTACTGCGTCTGTACCGACTGGAGACGAGACTGCTACCACAGAAACCTGTACGTACCAACCAAAACGTATACTGCACCCTTCACCACTGGTAATAGCGTCGGTAATAACGTCGACTCAACGGGCATGGTTGATATGGGTGGCATTAGTACACCTGTGCATGGCTTGCGACAAATAAAGGGAACAAATCTTGGGCGTCGAGCGTCCCAGCCGGGCCACGAACGTAGCGGCTGCCCTCTTCCGGCGGCAACTCACAAAGACTGGATGTGCTGGTTGCTGAAGGACGACTGGTACAATCTTTACCGCTGGTTCCCGGAACTCAATGACCTGACTATACAGCTGTCCTACCTGGGCACACGCGTGCGCAACCAACCTGCAAGACACTTGCGGCGCACCTTGCCGCCGAAGTCTCTGCGACAGTCCCACACATTCAGCTACCCTGGGAAACCCGGCGCTGGGAAACCAAGTCGCCACTCACGTGATGCAACTTCGAGATGCAGAAACGACGACCCACACCCATGGCCCGGCGTTCCCGGCGGCTTGGACTCCCCCCTAAGCTTGGAAACAGACACCGACGGCTTGATCGCCGATGGCTTGACCGCCACCGATGGCTTGACACCCACCGATGGCTTGACCGCCACCAATGGCTTGACCGCCTTGAGGGACCAGGGCTTGAAAGGCGATAGCTGGACCCGTACCCGGGTGGAGTGTACACCGATCGCCGAGTTGCATTTACCGCGGTTGATTCTCAAGACGGGTCCGCGGAAGGGCGAGACCTACCACCCACGGTTGGATAGACTGGTTGTCCATGGCGCGACGGATTCCACGTTGTGGCCGGGTTCTGAGTTCGTGGACTGTTTGGACTCAACATTGAGTGTGCGTTGTCTCGCGCTGGGTGCCTACTTTGTGTCTCGACGCGCGCTCGGTAAGTTCCTCCGCGCCGTGCCCGCGTCTGTCGTGGCCGCTGACCGCTTGTTGGCTAACGGCACAGTCGAACGGATGTGCGTCCTCTCCACGCCCCTTAACTTTTGCGGCGGCGCATCCGACCCAACTAACGACCAAACCCAGGACGAGAGAACTATATTCGTTAAGACCACCTCACCCAGCGAGAGAGAAGTCGGCTTGTCGCGACCCGGACAAGTCGACTTGTCGCGACCCGGAGAAGTCGACTTGTCGCCACCCGGACAAGTCGACTTGTCGCGACCCGGAGACCCCCTTTGTCCAGGAGACCCCCTTTGTCCCGGGGACCCCCTTTGTCCCGGAGAGGGAGAGGAGGGCGACGTCCTGGACCGCGTCTTGGAGTTCGCAGACCTCGGTGTCGCCTCCGACTTGACCGCATCTGGATCGTTCGACGCGGGCGGATGGTCGTTACCGCAAGTTGCACGACGGCCGTCACTAGGATCGGAGGTTTTGCGGAAGTTGGCGTTGTCTTTTTCAAGTATTCTGGCTCCGCAGTCGGATGCCGCACGTGTGTGCGACGGCTGCGGAGAATTCGATTGCCGCGGTTCGTTTGTAAAGAGCTACGCGCGAATCCGTTTCCCGGCGCTGCGTGTGCTCGCCGTTGACGTCTGCGGCCTCCTGCCCGTCGAAGATGTCGCGGACACACTTCCGCGTCTCCAAGAATTGCACTGCACCCGCTGGGCCGCTCCCGACAGCGGCGAAGAAGACCTGAGCCCGCGTCTTCAAGTACTCGTGCACCGCCTCCGCAGCCTGCTCCTCATCTGCGTCAAGGAACACTCCGAGACCATGGACACCGTCCTCAGGACCCTCGCTGGTTCGACCGCCGGAAGTGCTACCCACGGTACGACCAGCGAGAGTGCTGCGGACAATTGCAGGTTGCTCCTCAAAGACGTCTTGCCCGGCGTCTTAGGGGCGCCCGCCGTCGGAATGTCCCCAGCACCGGGGGCCTTGAGCCAGTCACTCGCGGCCAGTGAACTGGTCGTCACCGGCGAACGCGACGTCCAGCGAGAAACCTTCCTGCGCCGCAAACTCCCTCTCCTCCGGCCCTTCTACCGCACAACCTACGTGGCCTTTCCGCGCAAAGACGAAACCCTCTGCGTCTTCGACTGCGCCCACGCGGCTGATTTAAATGCTCTCCTCGACGCCAAGGTGCCCTTTGCTTTCATCTTATCCGGCAAGCGCAATTATGGCACAGAACTACGGGATTTTTTAACCAAGTGACGCAACCGGCTGTTGACCCTCCGACCCACCCGCGGCTGGCACTACCCAACCAGCAGACCGTTCCAGTAGACGGACGCTTCGTTCATTTCCCAGGCAGGCAGGCAGGCAGTTGCGTTTCCACTAACCCAGCCAGCCAGTAATCAAAAAAATAGTTCCTGCAGGACTGCTAGGCTACGTCGATCGGGTCAGCTCCCCCTGTCACCACTGACCCAGAGGTGGGTTCTGACTGGTGAGATCGCGGCGGACGGTTGCCACGGGTGAGTCTCGTGCACCTCTTCCGCGTCCGTTGCCGCGTCCGTTGCCGCGTCCGTCGATGAAGACCTGTCTCGCGTTCTCGCGAATTTCGGCGGCGTTCCCAGGCGGGCTTTGAGTCTCCGCTCCTCCACGACGACGTCCGCCGCCGCCTCTGCGATCGCGACCGATGCCCTGACCGTTGACCGACGCGGCCACATTCACGGCCGCCATTCGGTTCGCAGCTGACTCATCAAACACCATCCGGGGACCGCCACCCGTGCGCACACTCCCACCTTCCTGCACAAAGCCGTTTCGACCACCGTCTCGGCCACCGTCTCGGCCACCGTCTCGGCCACCGTCTCGGCCACCATCTCGGCCACCGTCTCGACCACCGTCTCGACCACCGTCTCGACCACGACCGCCACCACCTCGACGACCGCCACCTCCACGACCACCTCCATAAGCGCCTCGGCCGCCACCACCACGGTAGTCATGTCGTTGATAGTTACGTTCGCGTTCGTTGGTATCTTTGTTGGCTGGTTGGCCTACCCAGACCTTGCCGGTTTTCGGGTCTGTTCGTACGGGGATACCCTTCATTTGCGCGTTCGCTTTAAGGATGTCCTGTTTGACGTTTTTGATGGTGAAGCCTTCCGGGATACCGCCACGGTCGGGTGCGTCTGCAATCATGATGTTCTTGATAGGTGAGGGCACGGCGGTCTCTCGCGGATTTGATACAACTGTGGCGTCGGCGGCAGTGAGACTCCGCACAACCGCGGTGGACATGAAAGGCTCGTCGAGCATGTGCAGTACTTTACGTACACCTTCGTTAAACACAGCCATCAAGTTCGCCGCCTCTGCCGCTCCATTACGCGTCTCCAAAAATGCTTGCGCCGTCACACCCAACCGTGCGAAAGCCACATTTGCACGGCACATATACTCGTCATTCAACGCACACACCTCTTCCCGCCTCATCGGCACATCCAATGCATAGTTCTTACCCCGCCACGCCTCCCTCAACTTCACACCCAAATTCTCAGGCAACGCAAACCCCTCACTCAACTCACGATCCACCAACGCCGTCCGATCCGTCTCCGACAATATTTCTTCAGCAAGACATCGCATACTTGCCAAACGTGTCGCCGGCGGAATGAAATGCAAACTCAAATTCGATATGTACCGACGCTTCGTCAAATTGCGGTAATGCAGCAAATCTACCAAACTCTCATAGAGAAATGATGCACGCTCTTCCACTCCTCCCACCGACCCAAACAAAGCACTAAACTGAGCTGTCAACCGCCGGTTCGAATCCTCCGCCGACCAATTGGCCGGGTCAACCTTGGATGGTTCAGCCTTAGACGGCTCAGCCTTGGACGCCTCGGCCTTAGCCGATTCAGCTTTCACTGAACCTTTCGTCAACCGTTGTTGCAGCACTTCCGTCTCCAACGCCACTTGCGTCAAGACCTTCACAAACGAATCCGTATCCCTCAGGCACGCCGCCAACTCCACTTGCTGCACTAACGAGCAGGGACTAAAACGATCTTGTTGGACTCGCCCCAGGTGTCAAGCCCCAGGTCTTGGATCCATCCCAAGTGCCCCCTTGTGGATCTCATTGGGGTAAACCTTGTGGCCAGAGAATCTACTTACCGGCCGTTAATGGTGTCGTAGCCGAGGTTTATCAGGTCAAACGCATCGATTATTTTTTCCATAGAAAAGGTAGCCCACTTATATGCCCACCCGCGGTGAGGGCTGGGAGACGACCGCTGGACCACTGTACCGTGTCCCAATATCTATCTTGTCTGTGTATTGGGCTTTAGTGGCAACCTATCTATGTAGCTATCTAACGAAGTCCTCCAGTGGTCCAGTGAGGTCACCCAAAGCGTGGGGCTCTAACGTCCTCGTCCTCGTCCTCGAGTGACTACCTCGGGCGGGTGCGGTGGTGGTTCGGTGTTGTTCAAGGCCGCTAGACAAGACTGCTTTGCGCCGTGGCCATGTAGGATTTGGATTTGTCTTCGACGCAGACCTCTCTGATGTTGTTGAGTAGAATTTTGAGGGGGCCTGCATAAAAGGTGGGCATGCCAGGGTTGATGGTGAGACGATCGAAGTAGTTTTGGGGGTACTGATCGTCGTCGGTGATGACGGAGCCGGATAGATTGCCGACTGAAATTTGCCAGCTGTTCCCAGTTGCGTTTTGAAACACGACTCGATCTTTACGTTCAGCAGCGGCAGAGGCGACGCCGGACGGGACAAGTACGCAGCAGTTAAGGAGCTGTGAGACGCGCGAGACGTATTTCCGGGGTCCGTCAATGCGTCGCGGCATGTAGGGAATGGCTTGCCAAACGAACGGTTTGATATCGAAGCTTTCCGTTATAGAAGCTAGGGTGGAATCCACTTCAAATTGTTCGATAGCCTTAATCTTCTCCTCATTCACCTGCTGATTCCGTGCCAGTTCCGCAAGTTCGTCAGTGACGTAACGTTCTAACTGATCGTAAACGTCTCGAAGTGACTCCAGGTAGCGAATAGATCGTTCCCGATTGTTGATAATTTCTGCGCCGTACTTTATCAGTTCCTTCAGGTCATGTTTCCGTTTCATGGTGTCACAAAGCCGGAAACAGTCGGCCAGGAGCTGGACGAGATCCCCGGGTTGTCCGGAGCGGATAGCGTAATCGTGTGCGTCAACAAACGCGTCATTAAGTTCATCATAGGTCCCGGCCCGCATCTTAGGAGCACGCCGTATTCCCTCGATGAGCTTCGTCCTACCGTCATACTCATCTGGTAAACTGAATGGCCGGATTACGGAGCTGACTGCGACGCCCTTACGTGTGTGTACAGCTTGTCGGAATGCCAGTGTCTGGGGTACAGCGCACCCGGTGGTACGTTCAAACGCCATAGATCGGGCGTGGAACAGGAAGGCTGGTCTATATACGAACACCTCTGACTTATACTCACTATATCCGGACCTAGAACTAGCGTGTGCTATGCTCCGCCGGATGGTCGCCACCAAACTGCTACGTTCTAATGCTCGCGATTTGGCACGATCCAAAGTACTCCGTCGAGTGCTGCTACGTCCCAGAGTTGGCGGTACCTGTTCATCCGTTACCTGTTCATCCGAATGATCTTCGAATTGTATTTCATAAAACATATCTAAAACTTCATCCGATATAGGTAACTGACTTGCCTCCGGTGGACACAGAGCTCTCACAGCTTGGATCAATGGATCAAAAGAAGAAAGTGCTTTCAACTTCGGTTCATACTCACGAAATAAGTTTACAACTCTCAATAAAGGCCACCAATCAACTCGCACAGTTTCCCTGGGATTCGATAGTGCTTTAACATGTGTTGTAAACAATGAAATGACAATACGAAGATCAGGGTCCCGTACACTCTCGCCTGTCTCTAATTGATGGCCGTATCCCGAGGTTTCAAGTGTGGCCAGATTCATTCGTTTTAGATCTGGATGCACACTAGCCAGAAGTTCGATTCGTTCGGACAAGGTCATTTCGAACTTGGCATAGGCCGACGTTATCGGGAACGGTTCCACGGGGTCTCGTTTCCGTTGGTTGTAAGTATGCGTTTCTAACACTTCAGCGATGAAGGAAAAATTCACAACCAACCTTTCGGGTAACTTTGGGTACCCTAGAATCTCGACAAACTCCGATGCACTACGTAACAGTGGAGATAGATAACTGTACACGGTACAATCTATGTATTTATACCATGTATCACCCTCATTCATCTTCTCCTTTAACTTCTCATTAATTCGTCCCCATAATTCTACATACGTCAACGGTATCGCCAATGAACCAGCCAAATGCTCCATTGTAGGCTCCAACAAACTCAGACTTTCTTCATACAATTCACGAAGACTTACCTTCGAACGCAAGATCTGCGCTGCACTCGGCTGCTTATTCATCCGAGACGATTCATACTTCTTTAAATATTGCTCCAACTCCTCTTCTGTCTTCGTAAAGAAACAAAACTCTGGAGGATTTGCCCCTGTCCCAAACGTCAATAAAAGATCGGCCGCAGACTTTTTATCACAGTCGTCATTTAACGATAACTTCAACTATCAAGACAACCTTATTATAAGAAAACGTTATTATGATGTGTGATCGTGAAGTATTCACACATGTGTGTAGGGTGTGTGACATGTGTGTAGGGTGTGTGACATGTGTGTAGGGTGTGTGGTGCATACAATGGCGCTGGCGAATTGATGCAGGATGGCGACGTTAGCGAATAGGCACTTGTTAATTATTTGGGAGAAGACCGATCGTTCGTTAACGAACAGTGTATTGTAATCCTTGGCTTCGTCAATTTCAGCTTCCCCGATAGCTCGTAGTACTTTATGCATCCGTGTTTGCAGAAACAGATCTCCGATTTCATGATAGAGCTGTGACAGCAGGAGGCTAAAGGCTTCCCTTTGTTCATCATGTTTGAGGAAGGGTCGTAGTATAAGCCAGTAAGCTGGCTGGATAATGAGGGTCTCGACAATGATCTGAAATTGCTCCATATTGCTCCGTAAAGAATAAACTAAATCCTTCATCTTAGAATGAGCTCCTTTGGGATTATTCTCGCTTATAGTAGGATCAAAAGCGGCAGGAAAATAAGCAGGTGACACACCAAGCGCCAATGCCAATCTCGCAAGGCATCCAGATAACTGATCCTTACTCTTCATAAACATGTTTGTGTCATGCGCACTCGTCACACGGTCAATTAACTTCCCGTATAAATGTTGCAAATCCGCCTCAAACGCTAAAATACCCGCATCATCCCGAACCTCAAAACTGTGCTGTAATGCCGCCTGCAATAACTCCACCGTCGGCGCCTCGAATAAACGCAACTCAGCCAACACCGCCGCTGCCGCAAAGTCCGCCTCATCTGATGCCGGCCCACCTCCGCCAGCCGCTCCACTTCCTCCGGGCTTGCCTCCCGAAAATTCGACTCCCACTGCGCCCGACTGGCCGACGCTGCCCGTTTCGGCAGGGTCAGTGCGCATACCCAGGTGCTTCAAAAGCTCGGGGGCGGGGGCGCAATCCCAGGCGATGGTGAGCGGCGAGATGTCGGCCTTGGTCTGGGAGACAGGACCGAGCCCGAGGCGACCCTGAGCGGCGTGTCCCCAAGCAAACAGTTCGCCTCGTTTATTAGCGGCGAAGGCAACGTTTTTGCCAAGGGCAAAAGCACTCACAGCCTCCAACTGCTTCAACCAAACGGGTCCGTAATACTCGGTACTGCCTTCCACGTGCAGAACGTTCGCTGTAGGCTGAGCCGCCCCCAACTGACGATGACTGTTCGCACCCCAGAGAACGAGTTTGCCGCCCCGTGTCAAGCAACCTGCGTTGCGGCCGGCAGCCGCAACGGCGGCGCAGCCGCCGTCGCCGGCGACTGCTGTAAGGCGGAGTGCGTAATTAGTGGGCGTAAGAAGGTCGCTCTGGGTCCCGACTGCGCGGGCTTGGCCCCAGACGAAGAGTACGCCCTGTTGGGTCACTGCGAGTGAATGAGTGTCGCCGCAAGCCACGTCCACAACTGGGCCGTAGCCGGCCAGTTTGACCTCGACGGGTTCGAAGGCATTCCGTGCGTCGCCAGTGCCTAATCTTCCATGTGCACCCGTCCCCCAAACAAAGAGTTGTCCCCGATCGGTGATGGCGCACATGTGCGATTCTCCACAAGCGACTCGTACAATCGCTTCGCCGACACTACGCACACGCCGCAACTCCAACACCGGCTGTCCTGGGTCCACTGGCACACCTAACTTGCCGCCGTCGCTGTTTCCACAGACCCACAACTCGCCTGCACTCGCATCAGCCGCACTCGCGCGCGGTGCCAACACCAACGCCGTGTAGTCCGCACCCGCCGCTGCGAACAACACACGACCGCGTAATGACGCCGCCATCGTCGGTCGTGCTAACTGCATCTGTCGCCCCATGCACAGCTGTCCACTCTCTCCCGCACCCCAAGCAAACAAGTCACGTGACACAGCTACACACAACGAATGGTTGCCCGCTGCCACAACCTGACGCACCACCGTGCCCTCCGGAAACGCAACTGGTACCGGCTCGGTCGCACATGCCTCCTCCTCCTCCTCCTCCCCTCCTGAAGCCTCCTCACCACGTGAAGCCTCCTCACCACCGGCCTCGGGTGCCAACGCCGGGTCGGTCTTAGTCTCAGTTTCCGGTCCAGTGGCACCCGTGCCCAGTTGGCCATGGCTGTTGGAACCCCAGGCCCAGACCTCACCGCGGGGCGTAAGTAAGAGAGTGTGTGCGCGTCCGCTTGAAATCTCGAGACAAGGTGCACCACGCACAACAAACGCCTTTTCAACACGAGTGGATGTGCCACCCGCCGCCTGTTCGGCCAGGTCGCGCACAAGGCCACGTCCGCGCAACTCAGCTATCGATACTGGCTTGCTCTGGTCGGCCTCGTCCAATAATCCTAAAGGCGCCCGGCCCCATGCCCAAAGGTCACCCCGACGTGTGTAGACCATCACAGAAGCCAGTCCCGAGGCGGCCGCGACCGCCTCGTCGCCCAGACCCTGCACCTTGCGAGGGACCGAGCTCGGCAGCCCGGTTACGGGACCGGACCCCCAGACATACAAATTGTTCTCGCCGTCGAGTGCGAGAGAATGTGCGGCGCCCAACCATACGGCCTTGCAACGCGGGAAGCTGCCGAAGAGAGTCGGCTCCAGCCGCTCCAGGTTGTCTTCCAGCCCGAGTTGTCCGCCGCCATTGGAGCCCCATACCCAGAGTCGTTCGGAGCGGTCGATTGCTGCCGAGTGGCTGGTGCCGGCTGCCACGTACGTCATCGACTCCCCCTCCAGAGACCGGATGGGCGTGGGTTCGAATCGCGGCAGGTCGTCGCCCAATCCCAGCCTTCCACTTCGCCCGTCACCCCAGGCGTAAGCGCGTCCCGAACGGCAGCAACAAAGCACGTGGTCTAGCCCTGCCGCCACCTGCGTCACAAACTCCTCCTGACCCGAAGAGTCCACGATCGGCAACTTGTTCGGAGCCCAGATACACTCAACCTCCTCGCCGAAGCCTAGAGCGCCTGCTTGTGAGAATCCGCAAACCCATAGCTGTCCATGTTCCGAAAGGAAATAAGTGAAGTGTCCACCACAGACAACGCGCGCAATCTTCGTATCCGAGAACCGCACCTTGCACGCCCGCTCCGTATACCATGGGTCCTCCGAATACGGATCCAATGGCACTCCTTCCTCCGTATCACGCACGTATCCCAAACGACCCATAGTTCCCAAACCCCACGTATACACCTTGCCACCAGGAGCCTCCGGCGTCTTCACCACCACCGCCGCATGAGCCACTCCCGCCGATAAATCGAACACACTCTTACCATTCAGTGACTCCACACGCTCCGGTAACAACGAACTATCCAGTTCATCACCCAACAATAATACATTGTTATTGTTCGCGCCCCATGAATATAGCGTCGGCTCTCCAGACACCTCCGCTACAGCCAGCCCGAAGTCAACACCAAATGCCAATCGCTTGATACTTCGCCAAGGCATCTTGTCTCTCTTCTCCACCCTTGATGTCCCATACTCCTTGCCCCCTCGATCTGATCCCATGATACTCTCTAATAGAGGATCCTTCTGCGACTTCATCGGAGGAGCAAACACCTCCTCTTCATCCTCCGCTGCCGGCCCACCGTAACTGGAACGTCTAGTACTAGATCTACGGATCGATGCCGCCTCCTTAATAACAGACCCCCCCTCCTCTTCCTCCTCGTATTCTACCTCCTCTTCCGCCTCACTATAACCCTCTTCTTCGTCGCTCATGGATCAAAAAAAGCTCATGCACTCCCACCAAGCTGGAATTCCCACCAAACTGGAATGCCAGGAGGCAGACGACTACCAAGCTGGAGGGGGGGTGCTGAAAATAGTTATCGGAATGGTCGCATCATCCTCCGTGGGACCACCACTCATGTAATCTGTTCCATAATCAGTACCAGTACTGAGGAGGTCGTGACCGTTCAGCAGCTTCTCAGTCTCGGACACGTCAAGAGGGCCGCCAACCAAGACCTTGCTTTGGCGGCCGGAACTCCTCAAAAGCGCCACTATGACATCCAGGGTGGTTACCACACATGGTACACCAAACACAGCATCGAGCATGACGTGCCGCAATCCATGGTTATACAAAACGATCACAGGCACAAGCTGCAGGGACAGGGCGGTTAAAATGAACCACACTAATCTGAACCTTGTCATTTTCTCTTTAAGGCCATAGAGCGCGTGGTGAGCAAGAAACAACCCCGTGCAACCTGCCCAAATCCGTGACGGAATCAATAAAAACTTTGGGTACTTGATCAAAGCGAGCCTAACAGGATTTTAGCCCAAGTCGATCTTCAATGCTTACCCCACGTATGCAAGTCCGCTTATCGTATTAATCCACTGCATCGCGGACAGGCTTCGTAACTTGGCCGACACGCCATCATATGGCACGGGCCTCCCGGAGGATGCCCTTGCGGCGTGCTGAATAGCGTTCATGAGCCCTAGACAAATTCCCAACACTTCGTTTTCACTGAGCACACGCGTGTGCTCCTGATGTCCAGCGCCTTATTTTACCAGGCAGGGGAAAAGATCTGATTATATTGTGAGGGAAAAATGTTTTACTTGAGATCTGCTGAGCGGCAGGCTCCGTTTTTGAGTCCCGCTGAGCAAGCCACAACTATATATCGTCAGGACATGCCTGGTTACTCACCTAATTTCACGCATCTCGTTTTACTATTACATTTATACCACACAGAAGATGCATTAGACCCTCTTGCGTCATACCACTGTAAAATTACCTTGGCGAAGACCTGTGCATACAAAACTAAACCTACAGTGCCACATGGCATGATATTGAAGTTATGTACCGTTATAAGCATGCCATTTCGTTACGAGCCATTGATGAAGTAAGACTACGTGCGCAGTTTAAGTTCCTATTTTTAGGGTGGCTATACTGAGATCGGAGCCACGAACGGCAGTGTCTTCTTGCTTTATAAGTACAGGAAAGTTATTGGCGTCCAACAAAAGTCTCTTTGGTGGGTACTTGCCCTTGCTGAGTCGAGGAGGCAGGGTTATCGGACGGTTGCAGGCTAGCGTTGAATTTCTGGATTTTTCGGCTGTTCCTCATTCTGTTCAAGAACCGGCCGGTCAGAGGGTGGTAACAGCGTTGACAGACCAGCGCCTGGCGCGGCACCCCGTGAAACGACCAGCCCAAAAGAGGAAGAGTGTTGAAACTTTTTGTGTAATCAATGACTGCGACCATCAAGAACATGGACACCGAGAACATGGAAGACGAGAACATGGAACCCAAGAACACACAAGTGTTCGTAAGCATGGATCAGCCCCGCTAAAGCAACAGCAGTCTGCCGCTGTGGTTGCCACCCGTGATCAGTTTGCGGCCCGTGCGCCGATCCCTGTGCTTGAGCAGAGGACGTCGGCAGCTGACCAAAGGGCGGCTGACCAGAGGACCGCCAACCACAGGACGACGGCGGCGGCGGCTGACCAGAGGGCGGCGGCGGCTGGCCAGAGGACGGCGGCGGCGGCTGGCCAGAGGACGGCGGCGGCGGCTGAGCAGGCAGCCCCTGACCGTAGGGGCGTTATTGAGCCGAAGCCGGTAGTTAAGGAACAGAGACCGGCGGCAAGTGCTGCGGGGTCAGACCGTCCACGGGGAGGCAAGGCGCCTGGTGGGCTGTTTGCTGGGTCGTCCATGGCCGTTGCTGGGCCGTCGATTCCGGCGGAGATGAAGAGCACGACGTCTGGTGTGCAGTCGACGCCTGTGTGTGAGACTCCTCCTGCGGGTAGTGGGACTCCTTTTACGCAGGCCACGGCAAGTTCGGGTGCCAGTCCGGTTACGGCCAGTTCGGCTCGGACGACGGTGCTGGTGGAGGGGTTAACCCCGACTCCGAACGAAAGCAGTATGGATACCCCTTCGCCAGGTACTCAGACCGTGTTGGTGGAGACGCCTGTGGGTGAAGAGCCTGCCTTCGAGGAGGACATCGTGGATGAGACCCTTGTCGAGTCGCGCGACGAGCTTAGCAGCACCAGCGACGACCTCCCATCTCGAGATCTCCCATCTCGAGATCTCGCCCCGGTCTGCGAAGTTCCACTCAGCGAACCGGTCGCCAGCGACATGCAACCCAGTGATATGCAACTTAGTGAACAACCCACCAGTGATGGCTTCATCGTCACTTCCTCCGAACATCCACTCGAAGACCGACATGCCGCCGACCCAAGAATCGCCTCACCTATGTCCGATGAACACACATCCGACGAAGACCCCCACGACCAACATACTTCCGACCAAGATTTGTTTGAAGAACGCGACCACGACGACGATGCATTCCCAGAAGACACACAAAACAGATTACGCGGCCGAGCTCGTCACGACCAAATTGGTCATCACAACCATCTAGTACGCAGACACATGCCCAATGCAGACAAGAGACCAAATGTATCATCAAGAAGTCATGCATGCATATATTGTGGGGCGACATGCACTTGACACAATCATGGCGGGGTTGGCCGGGAAGGGCCAGACGCGTACGAATGACACTTGGGTTTTGTAGGGTGATGTGTTAGGATTGCAAGAGCTGGTTCGAGTAGATAAGGATCTTTTCATGGTGAATTTAGGCAAAGTCTGGCCGGATATGCAGCTGGCACTGGCCATGACCCGTCGACAGATGCACGATAGAGTTCCGATCGTCCCAGTGGCCTCTTTGACCAGCAAAGCGGTTCCGGCCGGCAAGACAATTCCGACCGGCAGCCTGCCGGCGAGAACTCACGCGCTGGACCTGACGACAAGAATTTCGTCTGAAGGCAAGAACTTTGCGGAACTCAAATCGGCTTGCGTGGCCCCGCCAAAACAGCGGGTCGTGGACGACCACGACCGCCTGCTGGATCCAGAGGCCTTCGACGATCGTGAACGTTTATTGGATCAAGAGGCTTTGGGTCGAGACACTTTGACTCAAGAGGTTTCGGGTCCAAAGACATCGGGTCCAAAAACTCTGGATCGAGAGATTGTGGACCTGCATGAACTAAGCATCCCAACGAGCATGCAGCAGTCTGTTCATCAGCGTGCTCCGCCGATCGTTACTCAGGCGTTGACAGATGAGGTCATTTCAGATCACGACGGTTTGGAAGACGAGTTTGAGAGTACGAGTAGTGACGCAGGAAGCGTCAGGACCGGACGGGTCCCTGCGGTGCCTGTGGTTGCGCACAGACATCATCGTGGGCACCGCAGGCATTGGGAAGCTCCGTTGCCCGGAGTTGACTTGAGATCCGATTCGTTTGCTGCCGATTTGGAGAGAGACCCAGACCATGGGGAGGGGGCTGGTCGTGAGAGTTGTTATCGGGAGTCGGAGGAGCTGCACATCGGCATCGTCGCAGACAGCGGACGCACGGCTGCAGGGTATTGGTCGTCTGAGTCGGATTGCCATGTAGGCGTGGTGATGGTTGACGACCTATTGACCAGGGATAAACAGAATTACTCCGGATTGCAACGACCGGGTCAGTACTCGGGGTCTTCAGATAGCGAACCGTCGGAAACGGAAGATGATCTGGCGCAGGTTATTTTGCCCGAGACGGCGGCTGAATCCAATTCCGAATGCGAACCAGATCGGCGACTCACGACAGAGGCCGACGGATTGGCTGATCGTCCGCATCGTAAAGGAGTGTATCATATTCCAGGTGTACACCGCCATTTACCAGATGACCACCACCACTTTACACCTGACAAACACCACCGTCATGCACTCGACGACCAAATAGTGCGAAAACCGTCGGGTTCAAACCCCGACCAAGACCCCCAGATCGGCGAGATTAGTCCGAGCCCTGGAGAGGAGCCGCACTTCGAATGCCGGTCTGCATCCTCAGGGGTCTACAGTCTCAGCTATGCCAGCGAACCACTCGATGAACCTGCGCGGACAGCGGCAAACTTCCTCCGAGCTGCAACCTGTACTTTCCCGGAACCAGCGACTAAAGGACGCCGACTCCTATATTCCCAAAAGACGGACCAGAGCATTATACTCTTAGCCCCGCCGGAGGAACCAGGGTCTGAAGAACCAGGGTCTGAAGAACCAGGATCTGAGGAACCAGGGTCTGAGGAACCAGGGTCTGAGGAACCAGGGTCTGAGGAACCAGGGTCTGAGGAAGCAGGGCTTAAGGAACCAGGGCCTGAGGAACCAGGGTCTGAGGAACCAGGGTCTGAAGAACCAGGGTCCGAGGAACCAGGGTCTGAGGAACCAGGGTCTGAGGAAGCAGGGCTTAAGGAACCCGATTCTGAGGAGCCCGCGTCTGAGGAGGCTAGGTCTGGTGAGCCCGAGTCCGAAGGATCTCTGAAAAAACCTCGGCGCCCGTCCGCAATGCAGCCAAGCCGGCTCGGGTCTGAACCGACCTTACTGGCGGAGGACGGTCACCAGGACTTGAGAATCGTGGCTCCCGTTCTATTCGGGTCGGAGCAGGGCGGGTTGGTGCAGAGAGGGACGCGCGAGTCGTTCCAGAGAGGGACGACCTACGACGAGGGCGTGGGGCTGCAAGACGGAACGAGGGTTCCGACCGAGGAAGAGACTCCGACTTCGCCCAAGGTTGCGGGTGAGGTTGCGGCTGCGGTTGGGTCTAGCGGAAGCCGTGCCTTGTCCGAGGGTTCCAGTGCCTTCGAGTCGGTCCCGGAGTCTTGGCAAGAAAGCGACGAGCTGGTGGACGTATTACCCGACAGCGAGGATCGGGAGAGCGGCGGGGACCGGGAGAGCGGCGGGGATCGGGAGAGCGGGGGGGATCGGGAGAGCGGCGAGGATCGGGAGAGCGGCGAGGATCGGGAGAGCGGCAAGGACGAGGAGAGCGGCGAGGACCGAGAGAGCGGCGAGGACCGAGAGAGCGGCGAAGATCGGGGCCGGGAGAGCGAGAGCCCGAAAAGCGAATACCGCCCTCTGGAGGACATGACGCAGGTCTCTTTGCTGGTGAGCGAGTCGACCGTGCCGGAGCACGGCGAGGAGGAAGTGGTGATCGGCGTGACGCACACGGTCAGCGCCTTTTCGCAATCCGATAGTTCCGCCTGGAGCGGCCTACCGGCCCGCCATCTGCCGCCTCGGCCGGACTTGAATGCGTTTTCGCCCCTGACAACGTCGTCGCCGCACGACCAGCGGGACTGGCGCGTGCCTCCGAGCAGCGACAGTGCCGGGGCTGCGAGTACGGGGACCATGAGTGGCAGAATAGACCGTGCCACAGTGGACAGTGTCACAGTGGACAGTGTCACAGTGGACAGTGCTACAGCCCGGCCGGTGGATACGCCAGTGGTGGACACGCGAGAGGAGGACACGCGAGAGGAGGACACGCGAGAGGAGGACAAGGCCGTGATTGAACGCAGAATTGCCATGCATTTGGCGCGACGGACGCTGTCGAGACACCTGAGTGACCGGTTAGTGATTCCGGTGTCAGTGAGCGAACGGGACCGAATTTCGGTGGCCGCTCGGGAGGAGGCGAGTCGGCACTTGGACCTGTTCCTCTGTCGGCTCCCCTCTGCCGTGGCGTTGTCGCCGGAGGCCATTGGGGAGAAGGAAATGGTTCGGAGTATGATCGCGGTGCACCTGATGAAGCGGTTGGACCAACTGAGTGCGGCGGAGCTCGCCGACAACGCCGAAGACCCGGTGACCAGCGCGCGCCGCGCCAACACCAGTCGGTTCCAAAAGGCTCTGAGCGACCTGCTCGCCTACCGTTTGCTAGTGCGAGCGCCGCAACCCCAGTTCAAGCTAGAGGCGGAAGACCGTGCGGCAATCGCTCGCAAAATAGACACCATGCTCAAAACCAGGCAGATCGGACTCAGCGTCAAAACCGCGCGGAAACGCAGTAACCAGGCCGTGGGCTCCGGCGCAGACCCACAGGAGAGACAAGAGGTGGTCAAGACACTAACGCAAATGCTGGCAAACAGACTTTATGTTATACACCCAGGAGATTCCGTCGCGGGAGACTCCGTCGCAGGAGACTCCGTCGCAGGAGACTCCGTGCTCGGATACTCCATGACCGGATACTCCATGACCGGATACTCCATGACCGGATACTCTATGACCGGACCACACTCGCTGGCCAAGCGACCAGACCATCTGTTCGAGCAGGATGGCGACTACGTACCTTCAATCACCTCACAGGCGCGCGACGACCAGGACAAGGGTTTAGTCCGTAACGAGGATAAAGGCCAACCTGGTAGCGAAGACCCATCTTGCATTGAGCCTGAATTTTCTCAGTCGATATTCTCTTCACAATCCGGGTCAGCTCAGTCAAGCTCCGCTCGGTCAGGGTCCTTTCGGCAATCACCAAGAGTCTCCCATCGGGAGACGGACGACGAAGCTCCCATACCCTCGTTACGGTCTGAAGGGTCCTTCAGTGTCGTCCCCTCACAGGGCGACGACTTAGCCAAAATCATTGCCACCGGCTCCGGCACCGACAGTTCCCACACCCGGGCCGAGGGAGGTCCCCGACAGTTTGGGTCGACTTCTGGCCAGCCTCCCAGCGAAGAGTCACAGCCTAACGAGACCCGTCCAGCATACACGGAACCTCGCTCGGAACAAAGCGAGCGGGAGGAAGAGAGTGACCAAGAGACTTCAAGCGGAGGGGTATCGGAACAAAGAGAACAGGGTGAACTACCGCAGGAAGAACGAGGGCAGAACGAAGGAGAGGGGCAGAACGAGAAACGAGAGCACGCAGGTGACGATGCAACAAGCTGCGAGGAGGTAAGTTACGAGAAGGTAAGTTACGAGAAGGTAAGTTGCGAGAAGCTAACTTGCGACAAGGTAAGTGGTGAGAAGGTGAGTGGCAGTGAGAGGGATGTCCGCAAGGCGGATGGTGATCAAGTAAGTAGTGAGCAGGTAAGTGACTACGGAGCTTGGGAAGAAGAGATGGGAGAAGGAACGAGCGACAAGGAGGCATGGTCCGAAAGCAAGGGCAAGAGCCGCGAAGGCTTGAGCCATACGAGCGAAGGCGATCTATCAAGCGGTTTGTCGGCCGCCGGAAACAGGGCAGAAGGCAGCGATGAAGCGACACACGAGCCATCCATCACAAACGACCTTCGCGTCTCGCCAAGAGTTTCCTCTGAGGAGACGCCGTTTGTGGAAGAGCGGCAGTGGGTTGAAGAGAGTCAGTCGGGCGATGAAAGTCCGTCCTGCGTGATCATGGAGACAGATTCGTCTGGTGGGGAGGCGTCTGAGGATGCCGCCATCGCGAGTCACCCAATGGCTGACACCTGGGAGTTTCCAGGAGTTCCGCCACTTGATCCGCACATGGTTGTTCAGCCCGGCTTGCGGGACGCCAGCCACGCCTCGGAGGACTGCTCTCTCAGTCCGCTTTTGAGAGGCCGCGAAAACGAGCTGCGTGGACTCAAGCCTCCTTTGGGTGACGAAAACAGTCCTGGCTCTATCCATCCCGACTCCAGCCGTCGCGGCTCCGGCCATCACGGCTGGGGGGGCCGGGTTGCTGCCCCGCCCCCTTCCCTCCAGACGGACGTGAGCTCGGACTTGATAGACCTCGACTCCTCGGTGCCTCCGACCCGGGCGTCCGAACCGGGATCGGAGGAGGAGGCTTCTCCGAAAGGGCGGTTCTCCGCATCCACCGACCTACTTGACATGTCCAGTGCTGCGGACGACCTGGGCAAAGTTTATGACCTGGGCGGAGTCATCCAGGACGTGGACGGAGTCGTCCAGGACGTGGACGGAGTCATCCAGGACGTGGGCGGAGTCATCCAGGACGTGGGCAGCGTACCAGCATCTAGAAACAACATCCAGTCCTCACCTCTCTTGGTCGCTTCAGGCTCGCTTGCAGAAGTCGTCACGGACGGCGTCGTCCTGGCTCCCCGGCCGGAGCCAACCATTTACGGTGGAGACTCCGGACTCGAAGACTCAGCCAGCCATCCGTCAGAAGGGGTTTCCTCCACCTCGCCGCTGCAGCAGCCAGATGTGCCGCTGCCGACAGCTCCTTTGGTCACTGAGCAGTCCCCGGCACTCAGCAACGGCCAGATTGTCTTGCGCGATGGAGTCGACTCTCAAGACGAAGACCCGTTCCAAGAGGGAAACGACTTTCAGGGTTGCGAGGTCGTCGGCGCGGAAGAAGGTGGAAGTGGGCCGGTTACGCAAAGTGGTGTTTCGGGGGAGACCCGAGAGTACCAGTTACGAGACGACGAGGAACTGTCGCCTACCGGGGAGGAGAGTAGCTCGTGGTCGGAGCAACCGCGAGGTACGCCGCAGTTTTATGCCATTTACTCGAACGTGGGTCGTCTATCGGACTGGTCGTCTTCAATGGATCGGAGCAATCGCGAGTCTGCGACGAACAGAGGTGCTGGGCGGAGTCCGGTTTCGAACGCGCGACCTGGCGCTAACGACATTGGACGACCGGTGCTCCACTTCGACCTGCCGAGTTGCCATGACGGGTCGACTGTAGGCTCCAGCGATCGAGATCTAGGCCGCCGCAGCCAGCTGGACTCCCGCAGCCAACTCAGCTCACTCCCAATCCTGCATTCAACCGGGAACAGTTCTCAGGACTCCATGACTTCGAACGAATCTAGCGGTCTGGAACCGCACGTGCTGCCAAGTCCCCATGATGACGCAAATTCCCACGATGACGCAAATTCCCATGATGACGCAAATCCCCATGATGACGCAAGTCCCTCAACCGATTCCGATGGTTTGGGATCTCCGTCCGATTCCTCCGGAACGATGTCAGAGCCACCGTCCGGGTCGATCCACCAGACAATATCTGAGACCGAGGAGTCGACAATTTACTCGGCAAACGACGTGTCACAACCTCCGACCGGGCAATCATCGTCTACAGACCATGTCATGGGACGCCCGACGGGACGCCCAAGAGCTGCAGACTACCCCCTCGCGTCAACACAGTCGTCCCATTGTGGAACCCCCACAGTTTCCGAAACTCCCACAGTTTCCGAAACTCCCAGAGTTTCCGAAACTCCCAGAGTTTCCGAAACTCCCACAGTTTCCGAAACTCCCACAGTTTCCGAAACTCCCACAGTTTCCGAAACTCCCACAGTTTCCGAAACTCCCACAGTTTCCGAAACTCCGCACCAATCACAGGTCCATCCTGTCGACGATCTGACGGTAGGTGTGCAGCCTGAAAGAGTGTTTGAGGTCTCCAATTCGGGTGTGTCGGAATTCCTGCAGACGGATGAGTCTGAGTTCGATTTGCGACTGCCTTACCAAAGTGAGGAAACAGAAACGGATGGTACGCTCTCCAAATTGGATGTCTCAGATCACTGTTCTGTGAGTTGCTATCCCGGCACTGAGGCTCGGGTGTTGGATGAGGCAATTGACCCCAACAGTTCCTGTCTCCAGTCGGACATTGGGTCGTCGAGTCTTCAGTTCGAACTTGGTGGTGGCCGTCTCGACTCAGTCGTGGAACGCACGGCCATGTCTGTGTCCCAGATCGAGAGTGTTTCGGAACCCGACGACCGGACAGATGAGGATAGCACATCAGAGCCGACCGGTCTACGGGAACCGAAAGAACCCTGGCGACATGACACGCTTCATGACGGGTGCAGTGATCATACGGAACGACCTACCCCACACGACCGTGACGGCCAACCCTTCAGTCAACTCGGGCAGTTCAAACACCGTCCCACAATCCGGGATACTAATGCAACGAAAAACGGCTCCCAGAACGAAGGTCTTCCCTTAATGGAAGGTCGTCCCTTAATGGAAGGTCTTCCCACAATGGAAGGTCGTCCCTTAATAGAAGGTCGTCCCCCATCCGACTCTCGTCCAAATATGTTGGGGCACATGGCCGGAGTTACTACACCGTCCCTGGTCCGAGGCGGGACGGCGGCAGCCAGAGCCGTCCGAGGCTCCATGAGTGACATTTACGCCGGGACGGGCTTCTACTTCCGGGAACAAGAGCTGGTCCCGCGCCCTCATTCGGACGAGCGCGCACTTAGTGCCATCCGGAGCGCGTGCCAGAGCTCTATGGACAGCTACCTCTCCGAGCCGTCCACATCCTACGGCCACGTCGTCGAGGCCGTCGACTCCTCAGATAGTAACCTGGTTTCCGAAGATCTGAGCGGTCTGGGAGAGGAAAGCCTTGCTTCCCGTTCCTCGGCTAGCGTGATCGCCAGAGAGACGACCACCTTGACGAAAACAACCCTCGGAGGGGCGATCGCTACAGGCGGACTTGGTGAGAGCCGGGGAGTGCAGTTCTCTGACTCTTGGCACGATGCCGACTTTGACAGGCCGCGTTCCGCCCGAGCTCCCACCTCGGGAGTCTCTGTACCGGATCTGGAAACTCGGAGTCCAAACTCCACGCACAGGCCAGCGACCCACAGGCCGGCGACCCACAGGCCGGCGACCCACAGGCCAGCGACCCACAGGCCGGCGACCCACAGACCGGACGAATGTGTACCGGCTCTCGCTCGCTTAGACCCGGGTCGTATGAGCATGACGGTGCGGGCTGATTCGCGGTCGGACGAGACGGGAACAGTGGAGGACGCGGGTACTGAGAATGAGCTGTCGCAAACTAGTCGCACTAACTTTAGTGGCTCGCATGGCGAGTCCACTTACTTGCCGGGTCCGACCACCGACGGCGAGAGTTGCATTCTGCCCACGAGTGCCTCCCTCGTAAGTCAAACACACTCGACTTCCCAGGGACCCTCTGCCTTCTACGGAACAGAAGCGGACCCCCACGATCTGAGACCCCAGCGCTCTCATACCGCCATGGCACCCCTGGACGTATCCCCATTGGGCAGCACGCCTGTTGGGACACCCCTGCGCAGCGCGCCCTTGGGTAACCCGGCCTTGGACAGCGGAACGTCCAGTCTTTCTGACTTAGCCCTGGGAGGCCGAAGTCACGTCCACTACAAAGTCGACTGCAATTCCGAACTGCCAGACAATCCCATGGGCCTACCCAGTCCGAGAAACTGGGACGAAAAGTGCGCACTCGCTAACATGCCTCAAGGAAAGTTACCGGGACGGGACTTGCCTTTGTGTGGCTTTCCTCCATGCGACGTCGCTGGACATGGCCTGCCTGTACGAGACCTGCATGAAGCCAACCCTTTGGAAGGTGGGAAAATCGGGCTAGGGATCGAACGCTCGATGGACGGAAAGGAGGTGGACAATTACCATGGGGACAACTACTATGTGGACAATGACCATGTGGACAGTTACCGTGCGGAGTTTCCCTTGACCCGTCGGCAGTCTGCAGGGCGGTCAATGTCCCTGAGTCGCCGGCAGTCTGTGAGCAGTCGCAGTCGCAGTCGGTCGATTGCGTCCTTGGGACCGAGTTCGCTGGAGTCAGACATGACGCACTCGGAACACGCCGACTCCTCGGTGGCCATGGGATCGCAGACCACGGACCGTACGCTCTCGCTCGAGGCGGTCGGGAAAGTGGTCGATGTGGGCGACGCCAATGCTGACACAGTGGCAGGTGTAGCCGGTCTGTCCCCGATGAATGCGTTGGGACAGGGGGTGGAACAGAACAGCCAGTTGACGAGCTTTAAGGCCGGGATTACGAAGATGCTAACCCGCAGTCACTCTACCGTCGGGAGTCAATTGCCGGGAACGACCAACGATTATAGTCGGTCCCAAAGCGCCGACCATAACGAAATCGGTGGTTCGCGTTGGGACGTTGAGGAACGAGAAAGTAGCCACCTGACTGAGAGTCAGTTGGATAGCTGTCTGGATGATGATGAGGACGACGATCGGACACTCGATGGAACCTTTGAAAGCGGTTCCGCTCTCTGCCCATCAGTGCATCTCGCTAATCGACTTGGCTTGATTTCCCAACCCACGTTCCCGGGTCTCAGCCTCAACCCCGGTCTCAGCCTCAATCCCTGCTTCGACCCCTGCCTCGATCCCGCTCGGGAACAGGTTTCCCGAGCTCAGGTTCAACTTGATAGTGGAGACCGGGTCGGAGTCCTTGCAGACGACCACCTAACCGACCATCTAAGGGACCACCTAGAATTAGATCCTGACTACCACCCAACGCTAGACCCTGATGACCAGCTGACACCAGCTCCTGGCGACCAGTCCCCACTAGCTGCAGGGTACAGATTAGAGGAACTGCGATTCGAGAAGACCGAGAAAAGGGTTAATGATGAATGTTACATAGCCACTACAGATGGTACTTTGGACATCGAGGAATTCCTGGCCTCCAACAAGCTGGACCTGACTGAGGCAAACTGTAGCGAGGAATCATCTGAAGTCACTAACGGTGACAGCGAGTTTGGGTCACAGCTGCAATCCGGGCTTGATGACCGCGAGGCGGATGACCACGAAGGGGCAGACCACCACGAAGTGGATGACCACCACGAAGTGGATGACCACCACGAAGTGGATGACCACCACGAAGTGGATGACCACCACGAGGTGGATGACCACCACGAGGTGGATGACCACCACGAGGTGGATGACCACCACGAGGTGGATGACCGCAAGGATGATGACCATGAAATGGATGACGGTGAGTTGTGCGATGAGCAGACTATGTGTCAACGGGGGAGGAAAGGGGTTCAAGTGCCTGCGTTGGACGTGACTAATCTTGATGCGCATCGGTTCGACGATCAAAGTTACGGGGATCATTCACATTGCTTGGATAGTTACATGGAAGACAGTCTGCGGAATTATGTACCAGCGTATGGTTGTCTGTCGCCGGCTACCAGCGTGATGAATTCCCCACAGCTTACATGTGAGTCTTTGACTTACTCACAGGCGCACCCTGAATCGTCAGATTGCCGACCCCGAAGCAGACTCTTCACAGATGGGACTCTGGACCTGTCTGTGGCCTTCAGTCCAACGAGCAGTGCCCGAGGAATCACCCCCCGATCACTAACACCACGTGTAGAGAGTCCCGAGCCCCGAGCAGCGGCTGAGCACCGTAGTAGCGATCATCGTACTAACGACCGGAGCGATGTTCATCCTAGTGGTGGCGATCACGAGATTGAACACCCGGGGATTGACCACCCGGGGATTGACCACCCGGGGATTGACCACCCGGGGATTGAGAGGGGTTACTCGCCTGAGTACGTTCGGGCGAATTACCCAGTGGAGCTACGAGGACCATCGGAAAGCTACGAGGACTCTGACTTGGGTCATAGCTTTGCCAGTGTAGGAGTGAAACCGAGGCAATCAGGGGATCAACTGACGGACTTTATATTCGAAGCTTCAAACACACAGGCTGTAATGACGTACGTAGACACTGTCCATACGTTATTGAGCGAGACGCACAGCATTCCGGAAACGCGGAGTGCCATGCTCGGTACGGCAGAGGGCAGTCTCGGTGATCTACCCCAATTGACTTACTCCAAAAGCGCCAACAAAAGCGTCGGCTTCCACTGCGATTTTAGCCGTAGCTACACCTACGACGGACGCGCCCACCTGGACGTACCAATCCCTGAGAGAGAACAGAGGGAGGTGAACGGGGTTAGGGAACCCTCATACAATAAGGAACCGGCATCCGATAAAGAATCCGGGTCCGATAAAGAATCCGGGTCCGATAAAGAATCCGGGTCCGATAAAGAATCCGGGTCCGATAAGGACACGCCCGGGTCCGATAAGGACACGCCCGCGTCCGATAAGGACACGCCCGCGTCCGATAAGGACACGCCCGCGTCCGATAAGGACACGCCCGCGTCCGATAAGGACACGCCCGCGTCCGATAAGGACACGCCCGCGTCCGATAAGGACACGCCCAACACATCTTCTCTGCGAGGCTTGCGGCCCCGACATAAGAGCCATGACAAAATACGCTTCGCCGACGCTGTCATTTCTGACTCTCCCGAGCAGCCGGATGCAACTCAGCCAGATTCAGTCCAGCCGGATGCAATTTTGCCAGATTCAGTCCAGCCGGATGCAATTCTGCCAGATTCTGTCCAGCCCGATGCAACCCAGTCGGAACCCACGATGGCCGAGGCTCTGTCTGCGACCGAGACCGAGCACGATGTGCCGGCAGAACAATCTCAGAATCTCGACGAGCCGGCCGCTGAGAAGCCGGTCGCACAGAAGGATGAGCCAGCTGGAGAAAAGAAACCCTCGTCTGAGCAGAAAGACGGCAAGAAGAACGAGTCGTCCGGCGGAGGCTACCGCCGGTTATTCGGCAACATGCTGAAAGGACTTGTACCTACTCAACGACCCAGCCATGGGGAGAAGAGTGGCTCGGAAAGAAGTGGTTCGGATAAGCAGGAACTGTCAAAAGAAGAGGACCCCACTAAATCCAGCCAGCGAGAGGGTTCCTCTGACGGGAAGGGCAAACTAGAGTCCGGGGGTTCTGAAAGGCGTCCCGCGGAGAAAGCCGGCGGCTTAGAACTGGACGGTTCCGAACTGGACGGTTCAGAACCGACCCGTTCAGAATCGGATCGTTCGGAACCAGTCCGTTCAGAATCGGGGGGCTCAGATTCCATGGATCAGAGCGTTCCCGCAGCCTGCAGTGGAGCTGACCCGCGGGGTGCGACCCCGAATGTTTTGTACCCGGTTGAGCCCCTTGCAGCCCTGGGCCGGCAGGTCTCTCCAATGACGAGGTCTGCGACTGCGTCCCTCCTTGACGAGGACCCGGTTGATGAGTACATGGTGGGCGAGCAGGCGCTGGAACAGTCCGGGGCATCCACTCTATCTCCGGAGTCCTTTTCTGCAGCAACGGAACCAAGCTCAGGGCCAGGTGCGGGTCGAACCGGCGACGTGGATCCAGCCGAGGGCCAAGCGACCAAGTCGGCGGAGAGCTCGGAGGGCAGGCAGTTGTCGGCAGTGGCTCAAGGAGAGCCTGAAGAGCGCTTCATCTTAACTTCGCACGTATCCCGTGACTCGACGGGGTCTGCCAGGATGGCGGGAGATGCCCCAGGAGTGGACGTTAGCGAGCGATCCTTCCTCGTGGCAACGCGTTATGGGTCGGGTTCGATGCCGTTGGGCGGTCCGATGCCTTTGGGCGGTTCGATGCCTTTGGGCGGTTCGATGCCTTTGGGCGGTTCGATGCCCTTGGGCGGTACGTCTCCTTTGACGGGCGCGTCATTCATGTCAGATCGTTTGTCACTTCGGTCGTTGAGTTCGGGTGAACCAAGGTTGTTGTCGTTACGCTCTGCTGAAGGTAACATGTTACTGGATCGTGCGGATAATGTGTTTGTGATGGAGCGAACTCTGTCACGCACTTGGTCTTTGTCTCAGAGGCATTCGTTATCCGAACGGCATTCGTTACCGCCGCCGCCGATTCATGAAGATGCATCGCAGTGTGAGACGCCGGATTGTTGCACGCCCCTGGCTGTGCAGCGATGTCATTCGCTTGCTCTCCGACAGCGGACAGAGGAAACGACAGATGGACGTCAGCCTAGACTCTTGGGCCCGCGGACGGTGGAACACTTGGTCAACCACACACAAGATGTGTGGCCAGATGACAGGGCAACCATGGAGTTGGGTATATCTCTGAGTGCCCATAAGCACCGACGATACGCGTCGCACACTGGTCTTGTTCGAAACTCAGGTCTGGCATCAGGGATCCGTATGGGGTCGTCATCCGCCGTAACGCCGCTGTCATCTTTCAATCCTGCAACCACTGGTAGCGCCCGGCTGTACTCCAACTCCAGAGTCCGACAGGGTTCCCGATCATTACACGCTATTGCTGAATCACATAACGAACCACCTCTCTTCGTCAGTTTAGACGGACCCTACAAGGAACCAGATTCCGGTGGGCTTGCACACCGCATGCCTACTAGTTGTTACCCCAACATTGCTAGGTCCGGTGGTAGCAATTCTGAAACGGAATGCCACCTCGTTCACCACGGTTCAGGCTGCAGCGACTCTGCTTCTCTTGACGGCCCCGAAAATTCCGCCACCGGGAACTGCGTCTCCGATAACGAAGAAACTCCTAACAGTCCCAGATGCATCCCCGACCCCGCGTCAGAAAGAGGTACCTCTCCCTGCGGCCTCACTTCCGTCGTGCTAACTAGCCTGCCCGTCGTGCTAACTAGCCTGCCCGTTGTGCACTCCGAAGATCTGGGTCTGGACGCATCCAGAACTAGCTCAAACCGCCAGTCCGACGAAGAGTCTCTACTTCGGCCAGAAACCTCCTCCGACGAACTTGCGGTGCCGGAACCGGTACTGAGTGAACCAAGCGAACACACTTCTACCGTATCTGGACTTGGCTTGGATTCTGTTCAACTTGATGGGTCACAACAAGCTCTGCCAGGTGGCTTTATCTCGGGCGATAATGTAGTGGATGAAAACGTTGTTCTGCTGGCGGGTACAAGGGTTCTCCCCGCCCACCCCTTGGCTCAAAAGACTCCAGACTACTCGCAAGCTCCTGAATCGACTCTTCCCTCCGCCTTTATTCTGACAAAGACCTTGAACTCTCAGGCCCAGACCTTTGCCGACTCTTCCGATGATGACCTGGCACAATTCGAGAAGTCTAGAAGAGCTTTATTGCAGGGTATCCACAGTCGACGAAGCATTGATGTAGAGGTACTGGGAGATGATGCCATGATTCCCGACGACCCGAAGAAGTCAAGGATTGAGTTGTTGCAGGATACCCGCAGCCGGCGTACGATTGGCTCTGATATTGAGACACCGGAAGACAATACCGTAGTGAGTTCCTCGATTCCCGACGACTTGGAGAGATCAAGGACTAAGCTGTTCCAAGATATCCATAGGCGACGGACAATTGGCTCTAGTATTAAGGCGTCGGGAGCTGACACAGTCTTGGACGCGTCGATTCCCGACGACTTGAAGAAGTCAAGGACTGAGTTGTTGCAGGATACCCGCAGCCGGCGTACGATCGGCTCTGATATTAAAGCCTTGGGAGATGACACGATATCGGCTCCGTCGATTCCTGATGACTTTAAGAAGTCTAGGAATGCACTGTTGCAGGACATCCGTAGTCGACGAACGATTGGTCCTGCTGTTGAGACGCCGGAAGATGATTCCGTATCCGATTCGTCGACTCCAAG